CCCCCCCCCCTCCCCCATTTTATCTCTCTCCACATGTCTCTGTCTGTCTGTCCGAGTGTCTGTCTGTCTGTCTGTCTGTCTGTCTGTCTGTCTGTCTGTCTGTCTATTTGTCTGCCTGTCAGTCAGTCTATCTATCTGTCAGTCCCAGTATGTGTACGTGTATATTATATGTACCGTAAAACCAATAAACTGACAGAGGCCAATCAAAGTCTTATTCAGACCGAAGAAGAGAAATAGTAGCAAACAACAGGCGAACAGTTTCTGTGTTTAAGTTTTCCCCGATTCCGTTAAGGGTACCCATTACACAGAGGAATTGTAATGTAATTTCTGGGAGTATGCAAATTTCTGACTTCTATTTTTTCCTCCTCTGTTTTGTTACAGTTGAAGGAGCCTGAGTGCCCGTATATGGACACAGACGACCGGAAGTTGACTCTCCACATCGAATGGCTCGACTCACATCTGCTCATCAACCCAAACTACACAAATCTTGATGACGTGGGAAGGTTGCACAAGCATCAAATGTCGTGAGTTCACAAGTACCTTCAGGAAAAAGCAGAATTTATTTCATTGATGTTAGTGGATGGCGGCCCGTTACAAGTAGAATCCAATTAACAAATACACTCTTCAGGTTTTTACTTTGAGGTCGATTTTTTTAATGACCGTTCCTCTTTTTTCGTGAATAATTTCGTTGTACTAATGCTCCTTCAAAACAGAGACGTACAATTTCTATTGTCGGCCATATAAAGTTATAAAATAACAAAGATCAACAGTCTAGGCTGTACAAGAAACTCATTTGTGAGGCAACGTGGTGGAATCAGGCTCTTGTCAATTTTTGGTCATATAGAGTTATTTGCATCATCTTAAAGCTTGTTCACTTGTCTTTATTTGGATGAAAAAAATATCCATTTATCTTGAATCAAGTTGAGATATTTGCGAATGAAGGAGGTGAGGGTCATCTGTTTTCAGAGGTGAAATTAGTGAGAAAATGGGCGTCAAAGAATAGTTATTTCCTTAGGTTAAGAGTCTGTAGTAACTGAAAATTTACATTTTTTGTGCTTTTCATCAACCAGTTTCAGAAAAATCCACTCAGAAATTAGTTCTTTAATGGGCATGAAAGGTGTTGAACCAAAAAACAAAAATTTGATAAAAATTCACAAACCTGCAGAAAAATGCAAGTTTCTTCACTTTGATTATTTTGACGAGAGCCTGATTCCACCACGCTGCCTCACATTTGAATATAAAGGACCGGACGAGAAAGATATTGTGTAAAAAAGTTGAAAGAATGTCCAAAACTAAGGGCATAGGTTCTTCCATACCAGAAGACGAGGAAAGATTAAACATTGCACAGTAAACGACCTGCATATAGGTCAGATTCTGTAGATGTAAGTGTGATACATTACGTCTGTAGTCATATAAAAAGGGTTGTCATAAAGCCCGAAGAAATAAGAGAGCAAGCCTGGTCTTTTTACACCGTCGGGAAGGAGAAACCCGTCAGCGTAAGGTCGTGTTGGACACTGCGACTAACCATACTAATAAATGTATGGTATGGTGTGGTGTGGTGCGGTGTGGTGTGGTGTGGTGTGGTGTGATATGGTATGGTATGGTGTGATGTGGGTGGTGTGGCATGGTAGGGTGTGGTATGGTATGGTCTGGTGTGGTATGGTATGGTATGGTATGGTGTGGTGTGGTGTGGTATGGTATGGTATGGTGTGGTGTGGTATGGTATGGTATGGTGTGGTGTGGTA